AGATAATTTATGAGATTGAACCTAATATAATATTAAATTCTTTTTGTATTGACTTTCTCAGGTGGGTTCATTTATTAGAAAAGCTGGTTAAAGCTGAATTACCCGATGCATCAACACGACTTTCCACACAGTCAAACAGCAGCAATGCATCATCAATGTCAGACTGTACTGGCAACAATGGCAGTGGTAACGAGAGTAACAACCGTAACAGTACTCACTCAGGCAGTCAGGCGGACTCTGGCTATCCAGGGGACAGCAGCAACAGTCTAGCAGCTCTAGCTGTTGAGGATACTGACCATGAAAATGCTGATGGACTTAGCCAGTATGATAATGTGGATGGAGTGGTTAGCGAATAACCGGTCATCGCTGGTATAAATATTGGGATCAGTTTGTATTGATGAGCTAATTTGTAAAATATTTCTTGCGTTTTAATCTTACACGACATACTACATGGAAAGTAATGTTTCTTTGCATGAAGTGACATGGAATATTAAGTGTATATATCAGTGTATTATAGACTGTGATTTTAACTTAAAGAGTTGTCAGTGTCTTCTCCATTCATCATTTAAAAGAGTTTAGAATTGTTTTTACCCTGCTGTTGATGACTTGTTTATATTGGTGAGATCATTTGAACTTTGAGGTGTCATGTTTTAAGAATTGTTCAGGAAATGTTGGTTTTAATTTTAAGATATCGTAAAGCCTACATAATGCAGTATGAAGATAACAATGTTGGACAGAAAGTTATCTGGTCAGGTCAATTATCTTTGACATAATGGATATTGGTTCAACTGCTAACAAATATTGCTGCAGCAATACAAAAGATGGGAAAGTTCAAAATGTGTTACATTGTACATTATCATCAGCATTTTGGAACTGTGCTGCAGTTATTTTCATACAGATTAAAAACAATGTTTTTCATTATTTATTTACATGGAATAATGCAAGCCTGATAACCAAGCCATCATCTATGCAAGAACCATCGATTCATTTGAATTTATCAAGAACTGCAGGTCTATGTTCAAATTAAGTAATTGACGGTGTATTTTATTTTAACTTCCTTGATGTACATGGTAATCTGTTAGTAATAATAGTGTAGTATTAAAAACATCATCATTTCATATTTGATGAAATTTAAATGCTGCATATCGATACTATTTTAAATTTAGAGTCACATTCTTTTCATTCTTATTTTTAAAATCTAAAATTATTTTTTTAAATTATACTTTTTTTTGTTTGATATTACTATTATCATTAGGACTCAAGAATGCTGTTAATAGAATTCGCGGAGTATGGTATATATATATATATATATATATATATATAAAAAAAATAATTATTTATTTGATGGATTTTCTTTAGTTCATGATTTTTTCAATGCCTTGTATTGCCGTTTGCTAAACAAAACATTTTTAAGTATCATAATGATAATGTGGTCAAAGAAAAACTTAATCAATTAAAATATTAAGTAGTAGTTCCCTATTCCTGCTGAGAAGGTTAACTTCTAAAAATCTTACTTTTATTTTAATTGGATTTGGCATTACCAGTTTACAAACTTTCATTTAAAAAACAAATCATCATTAAATCGATAACCGTTTATTTGGAAGACAATCTGGGCCTCAAACTTTGTGATTCTGTTTCTCAAGGAAACCCAAAAAAATATCAAGGAGCATCCAAAATGTATGATTTAGCATGTTCCTTAATTATAAATTTAAAAAAGCACTCTGTACAAATAAATTAATAATGCTTGTAATTATTATTGAGCTCATTGATGTCACTTACATTATCTTAGATAAGAAGTTTAAACACATCTCTATGTGCTGGTCAACTTTTTTAGTTATCCTTTTTGGCTTGTGTATTATAATTATGTGTGCAATAAATCTTTGAAAGTTTTTCTTCCTATACCTTCATGGTCTTTATTACAGTGCATTTTGGTAAAATTTACAATAAGACTCCAATACAAAAAAATGTATACCGACATTTCCTTTTACTATTACTCATAATTTTCTATTTTGTTGTATTTAATGCAGTTGTTAAGATGTCAGAAAAATAAACGGTAAAGACAATGATTGTTTGATGCTGCCCTTATAATCCATTGCTTTTTATTTTGTGAGTAAACTAAATTTATGATTTGATGAGTCTCATTCCAATTATCAAAGAATAAAATCAGCTTGCTTTATTTTTAAACTGTAATGTGTATTCTTGTATTTCTAATATTCATTTAAAAAAATTACCGGTACATAATTAAATTAATGATATAGATTTGAAGGTTTTTTTGGCATTCAATCCTAATTTTTATTTTATAAATTCCTCTATACTGTTCTCTTTATTAATTTTGAAGGAAGACATCATTTAAACTACCAGTATTTCACTATGGAATCATGTTTAAAACTCTTTTAATATATTGACCCATCTTTTTGTAAAAAAATAGAGATAATAATGATCGCTCTAATACATATTGTAAATGTAGTTTACTTACTTTTGTCTGGTGTATAGAATAATATTTGACATATCCTGTGATCTTTATTTGTCCCATAAATTTAAATTAATTTTTTTTTCTTCAATACTTTACCTGAACGCCCTATAATTTTACTTCATTTATTACCTTTAACTTAGCCTTAAGTGAAACTGAGTGGAATCCATAAGTTCATTTCAGCTGTATATTTTCAAATAATAATTTAAAGCTGCAGATTTCTGCTACCGGGTAACATGTATTGTACTATTTGTACCGGTACATGCAAACAAAAAGATAGTACTTTAACACTATTAAACTAAGTTTTTGCATCCATTATTAAAATTATTAAAAATTACCGGTATTATGATAAATTTGTTAAGATATTTTATTTGTACCGGTATTGAAATGCATAAATATAAATCTTGTATATGTACTTTTACTTTTATAAGGTCCTTAATGTTTACCTATGTTGCATAATATCTCACCTTGTATTATCAGAATTCTGTAACGGTACACCATTATCATTAGCTGAAGGTTATAATAGTACCGGTAATAATAAAAGATTGGTCAAATCTAAGTATTAAAATGTGTACTCGACAGCCTAAAGAACTAAATATTATTGGTTATACATAACATATGCAGCAGTATTATGGTGTTAAACATCCGCTCAACTTACTTTTGTATCGAAATTCAATTCTAAATAAATGTGTAGACCGCAGATGTACCGGTACACAAAATAATTTAGTATTAGTACATACTATACCCTACAACTACAACTTGGAACCGTGTTGAAATGACTATCGCAACTAGTCTGTATATTCTAGCAGACTTCTCCATTCCAATTTCCATTGTACCGTATTTCATTTGTACATTCTGTAAACATTGCTGATCTTACTTGATGTTATTTAGTGATCTGATTCTAAATGTCTTTGTTTGGTTTAATTAAATTTCTTCACTGTTTTGTTCCTAGAAATTTGTCATACAGTATATTTTTTCAAAAATCTTTGTTGTAGGAATGGCTTCCCGAAACACATAGCCAAAGTCTCCCAAACTAAAATGAAATGGTTATTGTACTTTAAATAAAAAATTATCTATCTTCAAATTTAAAACTATCAGGATTAATTAATAATATTATCACTATCACTGGTTTAAGTACCGATATCTAGCATAGCTTTAAAATTTCTAAATTTAAAGGGGAAGAAGTCTGAAGTCTTTCGAGTAGAGATTTCATTTATGCAAGGAAAGAAAAACATACCTTTTGTTTTAATTAAATATCTTAACATTGATGTATTTTTTCTTATAAGACTGTCCCATAGTATTTTAGGCCTTAAGTTATAAAGTTATAGTTTTATTTCAATCAGTAAGAACATAAATTTGGCCAATCCTGAAATAATGTTTATATTATAATTATAAGTTGATTATTGATCTTGATTATTGATCAATCGCCTTAGTACATCAGCGGTAAGCGTTTAGTATTGTACATGTACTTAAATTAATTACCATTTCAGGGAAAAGTTTAACTGAATTTAAACTCTCTGCACATCTCCCATCTGGATCATTTTATGGTGCACCTACTGTCAACTAGTATCGAATTGGTCCAGTTGTTGAAACTATTTTATAGTACGCCATGCCAAGAACATGTCTACTGCCTTTTGTTTTAAAGGTTCTACTCATTGCTAATGCTAGTAATATTTATTGCTAATTAAATAGCAATTCAATTATTGTAATGATCCATCATCTACATTGAATATTAATAAATGTTTCTCTTGTCATTAAGCTAGTTATATATAATTTCACTTAACACCACTGCAAAGTGGAAATTTGTTTTAATTATTCTACATCTCCAAGTTTAACTCACAATAACAAAGAATTGGGCTCAGGTTACACTTAAGTTACAAATTGCAATTTGTATTACCGGTACCTGTTGTCAATCATGAAGAGACCAATGGTTATGTATTTATTATAAAATTTGTACAAATAAAACTTATAACTACATTAAACTTGGGTGCTGTTTACTTAAACCAAGTAATTCTGTCATGATATCTGCCATTTCAGTTTTAAAAATGCATTAACTCAGTAATTTTGCATTAAGAGTTATTTGATCTTAACCCTTATAATATTAGCATTAGTAGGATCAATGAAACTGAAATTTTGTAGGGCTTGGCAACTTTTTAGTACTTACAATTTTTAAAAATTGATTAAATTGGAATTAATTACTGATAATTATCAGCTTCTCTCATCTGTGTCTAATGACTTATGGTTTTAATAGAATTAGAAGCAGCTATGTGTGCATTTTGACTAATTGATCAGTTGTCATGCAAAGAAGTAAAATTGTTTTCATTTGGAAATGGTTTCTGCAAGATTTCTTTGCTTAATGACACTTAAAGGCTTAAAATCATATTTCCCATAGTAACAAATTTTTAAAACTTCATTAGTTTTCAAATAATATACATAAATCAATGTTGATTTTAAGACAAATGTTATATTGATAAAAATAAAATAATCTAAATTTGACTAATAACAATTGTTTGAAATATGCCCACTTAAATTATTTTTGTAGTTTCACAATGCCAACAAGAGCGATGAATATTTGTCAGAATGAGTAAAGACAAGGGCAATCAACCAATAACTTTTCTGTAAATAGTGGTTCGTTGAAATGTTTACTTAAAAAATTGATAAGTTATCTACCTTATTAATAATAACAGGGTATTTATTTAAAGTAAGCACTGTCTTATAAAAAAAATATTTTTTAAACATAAGAAAAACTCTTTGAATTCAAACTATTTTTTAATTTTCATTCATGACTGTGATAGTGGCTCATGAGAATGCAATATGATAAACACAAAAGCATGAATTTCAGACAAAGAACTCAAAAGTCTACCTCTTTCATTTCAATTTTATCACACAAATAGATTTTCCCTATAAAGGGGTTAGAACCTATCAGCTTCATAGAGAAAGTGGTACACCATATTAAATGAACTTCTTAAATCTGAAGCTTCCCTGCACAATAATGTTGTCAAGCTTGCTCAAGGCTCATACATTACAGGCAGAAAATGATGAAATAGTTAGCCTCAACTACCACAAAATATAACATTTGAAATGATACATTTACATATATTAAAAAATATATAACCCCAATTTGGGATTTGATTTGCAGTGCAGAGGTTTTAGTACTTAAAAACCAAATGAGAATCCTTTGTTTTGTAAACATAAAAATAATCTTATTAAAAATTAGTTCTGTTGTCTCATGATGAATAAAACTTCTTAACAAAATGGGGGAGAATACTCTCAAAAGACAGGGTTATTTATATTCCTATCAATAAGATCATGGATGTTAACACCAAACTATTGCTATTGGTACAACATTACAAGGAAGCTGATTGGTTGAAAACATTTCCTCTTGCAGCCTAATAAGGTGAAGTGGACACAGATTCAAACTTCACTCACAACCTTTAAAACTATAAAAGTAAACCCTCAATACAGCTTACATTTTAGTTTTAATTTCAGTTTCAAAGATACATATTTTCATTTATGCAATGACAATAAGTCCTAACATAATAATAATATGTAACAGTACAGTATTAAAACAATGCACAGTCAATTGGTCTCAAGATATAGTGTTCACAAGACAGCACATAAAAGGAATTGTAATGAACACCAATGTGGATATAAAATACAAGATCAAATAATGAGTATGGACACTGAAAAACATTTGACAAAACAAGACAATTACCATAATTCCCCTTCCCTATCTTTTGCAGGGACTTCAATTACCCTTGGCTTATCAATGATACGGGCTGTTCTATTTCCTTTTTCTACAATGCCTATGATCCAGGACTGATAACCTTCTTGTTTCTCAATATCTTTACAGAAAGCAGCAGCCTGTTCTCTAGGCAGGGCTACCAACAAACCACCTTTTAAGACAAAATTATCAATAAAGCCAGTTATTTGTAAGCAACACAACTGTTCACAAAACTGATAGGAAAAAAAAAGGATTTTTATGGGCAGAAGCAAAATTATTTATCCATGTGAGAGTTAAGAGCACCCACGCATATTTCTATCTCCTGGATTACTTAAATATGCACTAAAAAAAGAAATAGTAAACTATTTAGATATAAGGTTGTGCATCAATTAACCTGACATAAGAGGAAATAGTACATATCAATTAGATTTAAGGTTGTAATCAATTTACCTGACATAAAAATAAATGGTTCTTACCTGATGTTTCAGCAGACGTCCCTTGTAATAACCCAAACAAATTACCACATGCCTTACTGATGGCTGCCATTTTAGCAATAACTGGCAAATTGTGGATTACAAAGCCCACTTCATTTTTTTGAATTTTAGCTAAATTATTGGCATGGCCTAAAAGACCAAAACCAGTTACATCTGTGGCACCATGGGCATTGTACTTATGCATTAGTCTGGCCGCTATGTGGGGAAAAAAAAATTAAAACACATAAAGGATATAACTAACTCTAGCTAACTAAATAAAAAGCTATTAGAAAAAGGCAGAACTGTTTACCCTCGAACTCCTAAAATTGCACATTATTGACTCAAAATCGTACAATACAGAATCTTAATAGTAAATAAAGATAAAGTACATATAATTTATACATTAACTACTCGCATCGGGTATCTAGTGGGATCAACATAAGCTGACATCAAAAAAGGTAACCAAAGGTAAAAAGTAGATGAGTGATAATATTGCAATCTCCGGTCACTTTGTTTTGTGAAAATACAGGACAACATTTTGACTATAATTCCTACGAAAAATTCTGTGAAGACACCCCCTTTCAACTTTAATTATGAAAATGTAGCAGTGTTAATTATAAACTTAAAGATTTAGAACCCACCAATAAACCAATATTTTCAACCCAGTCTCTTAAAATTGTAGTTTGACGAGTCTCTGCGTACAATTGTAAAAGACATCTCAAAATCATACATTGTACGCCAAAATCATAAGAGTAAACAGGTCTGAAAAGGTGATCCAAATAATAGAACAAAGGCAAAACTATTTTTAGTTATTATCTTTTATATCTTATAGCCCTTTATGACAGACTGATGATTGAACTATCACACAATGGCAAAAATATATTAAATTATACAATTATCAAGCCAATATCGAAATAAAAAGAATTTATGATGAATTTTGTATTTAAATCTTAGAATCTCACCAGTTCTATTGAGACGGGCCATGCTAAACATAGCACGCTGATAGGCCTTGCGAACATCATCTTCAGAAACAACAAGCTTAACACGGTTCCATCTTTCCGGTTGATCCAACCACTGGTAAGCATTCACTGCAACTTGTGTCCCAAGAGGTTTTGTTAGTACTAGAACATCTCCAACTACTGCATTATCTGGCCTGGAATTTTGAAGAATTGGTTCTACAAATTAAATAATTTTAAACAGTGACGAAAGTGTCTTTTGTTGTTGTCAATATTAAATGTTTGAGCCCCATGTCAACAGTTCCTGATAAATGTAAAGAGCCAACATGTGTGTCATCTTAATATATCCCCCTTCTCTTACAAAAAGATCTTTTCCACAATCTCTCTGCCTTATAGGAGGATTTTTAGACATATGAAATACTAGAGTTGTGAGACATGAAAGTATGCTAAATATTGAAAATCAGTAATTTTGCAGATTCATGGGTATTTGACGATTAATTAGCCTGCCAAAAATGCTCCCAATGTTAGATTTCAATCAAGGTTTAAAAGAATACTGGATGTTTTTAATGGGATTTTAAAAAATGTCCCCGAAGTATTGATGCTATAATACTGGTACTTGTTCCACCTTCCTCTTGCCCCTAATGCCCCAGTCTTTTTTTTTTCCGTTGGGTTGACGGACACAAAATAATATACCCAGTACCCCTTTTATCCTGGGCACTAATTAAGCGATGAAATAGTTTGAAATAATGTAGCAACTATAATGTATCAAACTATTCTGATGTTTCTGTTTGGTTTTTACAAGAGTGGGATATATCCTTTGGTACCAGTACTCTTTATTTTTACCATAAACTCAAGATTGGTAAAAAATTTCTTTGCTATTATTAGCATGAGCTTCAATCGCTGTATTGACATTAAATAGATTATGCAGTGTATTTAATTATTATACATTAATCTGTTATGTATGCTGAAAGCTTTTATCAAAGTTATATCAATGTGTGTCTGACAGCAAGTCTAGGGTTTGAAATAAGTTACATACATATGAGAAATTCCTTAACTAGCAACATAGCTGGTAGATCAGTAGGCAGGCAGCAGCTTTCCCAAGCACTATTTCAGATAGGCTAAATTTGTTATATGTTTACCTATAAATTAATAATTATAATCTCAAAATGAATAATAATATTCTATCAAGGTCCCATGTATGACAGCCATTTTTCATGGTAACTGCTTTGCCTGGCCAATCTTGTGTTGACAATTACATAACCTCAACCCCAGATAAAACTTCAAATTGCCCCCCCCCCCCCTGAAACAAACCCAGTTGAGAAACACTGCTGTAACCAAAGTATTAGCTTTATAATTTTGATGTAATAATTAATAAATTGATTATAAAGTAGTATAATAGCATAAAATTACCCATAAATTATTTTAGGCCATTATAATAGGCAATTCAAAGCTAATATAAAAAAATATAAAATGTTTGAAACCTATGTTAACATTTCCTTATCTACTGTAAGGAGTAAACATGCGTGCCATTTTATAATGTATCCCCCGTCTCTTACAAAAAGATCTTTTCCACAATCTCTCTGCCTTATAGGAGGATTTTAGGACTTATAGATATGATTGTTGTAAAACATGAACACGTTATTAGTTTAATAAATATAAAATGTTTGAAACTCATGTCAACATTTCCTTATCTACTGTAAGGAGTAAACATGTGTGCCATTTTATAATGTATCCCCCTTCTCTTACAAAAAGATCTTTTCCACAATCTCTCTGCCTTATAGGAGGATTTTAAGACGTATAGATATGATTGTTGTGAGACATGAAAACGTTATTAGTTTAATAAATATAAAATGTTTGAAACTCATGTCAACAGTTCCTTATCCACTGTAAGGAGTAAACATGTGTGCCATTTTGTAATGTATCCCCCTTCTCTTACAAAAAGATCTTTTCCACAATCTCTCTGCCTTATAGGAGGATTTTAAGACTTAAGATAATACAGTTGTGAGACATGAAATGGCTCTTATTAGTTTAATAAATATAAAATTTGTGAAAATCATGTCCAAAATCTCTTTGCCTTATAGTAACTTATACTAGGAAATCTAACTTTAAATTAAAAAGGAGTTTAATCTGCTAACAGATATACAACAGTTCTAACACCTGTCAAAGTAAAAAAAGATCAATATTCATCTATATTACAGTAAAGGCAGTTTTAAAATGGTACATAACTATTTATGTACCAAAATTAAGATTAACATTTGTAGAAATTTCAATACTAAAATCTTACTCTCAAATAAATAATTAATTTTAATAAAAATATGATACTATCAAAATTGGCCTTTCACATAACCTACTGTTTTTAATGGGATTGTCACAAGGGCTCCGTGACAAATCATGATATTAACTCAAAAAGAGCCAAATCTAAAGGTACAAAAGTTATTGAAAATCATTGTAAATAGTTATTAGTTAATGTTTTCAATGTTTGACACACTCTTTAACATCCCATTAGGAATTTCAACAAAAGACGCATCAAGGTAATGTTCCCAACTTCTCTTACAAAGAGATCTTTACCACAATCTCTCTGCCTTATAGATGGGTTACAATTTCTTAATCATAAATATTTACCGGTACATTAGAGAAAAATACTTTAACTTACATGATGTACTCGTTGGACTGGCACACAGATGAGGCTACACCACCAATTGTCATCCATGGATTGACTACAGTTTGACCTCCTGTCACTTGAGTCCCACCTTCTTCAGCTGCATCCTTAAATGAATGAATCTTGTGTTAACTTAATGTTATTTAATATCGAAATGTTAGGCTTTTAAAAAAAAATGACATTAAACTCTCACATCAACAATCTGGAATGTCAAAAATCCTGATTGCCCAATTAGGAGGAGAAAATATTCTCAAGAGTGAGAATCACAAAATTTATGAAGCATATATTTTACCATCTATAAACATGACCAAAATATTTTTTGGGCACTGCCATGACAGTAACCTTTCACAGGTCACATGACAAATGTAGCAACCTGAATATTTAATACATTTTTAAAATCTGCAGTGTCAAAATTCCTGATTAAATCCTAATTGCCTTATCAGGAGGAGAAAAAATTCCCAAGAGTGAGAATAGGAACATTTCAAAAGCAATGATTTTACCATCTTTAAACATGATCAAAATATTTTATGGGCACTACCATGACACTAACCTCACAGTTCACAAGGCAAATGTAGAAACCTGAATATTTAATATGGGTTTAAAATCAGCATGAGATCAGAAAATCTAATCTTATAGATCAGGACGGTGACTGAAAAACAATTAGTCTAGATTATCAACGCCTTACTGTATTTAATAACCCATTTAAAAATAAACCCCTATGTCGCTATAAATATAAATAAGCATATCAATGCCAGAATTAGAATCTCTCTTTTTTTTTCCTACCACAATATAAAAAATGTTTGCATTTCATTTATTAATATTTTTGGGATGTAGATTATGGTTGTAGTGCCACTGGTGATGCTGATGTGATGTACATTTTACATTATGCCCGATACAATTACTCCAAAGCCAATTCATTCATAAGCTGATCCTTCAGTTTTGGCTGGGAAAAGCCTGAAAAGAGTAGGGCACCTCATAAGCCAAACCCATATACTAGTGTAAGCCTTATGGTACAAAAGAAATTATTTTTTAAAATCCAGACTTTTAAAAATAAATATGTAATAAAAGAACTTACTTGTTTCTCATTTCTAACTATAATGAACATTTTAATTTATAGCCCATTGCCGCTTGGAAATAAATATATGGTCGCAAAATAAAGAAAAACTTGTTCTCAATTTTGTACATAGCTGTAAGCGGATTTCAGTTAATTACTTTTTCGACATTGTTTTCTATAATTGGATCAATTGGCTCAATGTACCCAGAGCAGATTATAAAAATCTTCCTAGACCTGCTCACAGGCCAGCAGCCCGACATATTCCCCTGAAATATTTGCACCAAAAAAAAAAAGGATGCTTTAGAATATTTAGATGAGTATACACCATGTTCAGTACTTTGAATAATGAAATACACGCAACCAGACTTGTTTACCCTCAAACTCTTAAAATTTTACAACATCATCACACAATCGTTCAATTCATTAGCTTGATAGTAAAAAAAAAAACATACAGTATATATCATGTATACACCTTAAAATCGTACATTGTACGTCAAAATCGTAAGAGTGAACAGGTCTGCGCAACTGAAACAATAAATACCCTGATATTTTGGGTCAGGCAAGCGGCTTCAATAGAAATAAAACCTGGTTCAAATGTATGGCAGTTGGGTACTTCTAAATAGTATTTCATAATGTTGGCTTATGAGCACACTTTTCAGACTTTTCCTGGCCAAAATTAAGGAACTTGGCTTATGAACGGTACGGTTTATAAAAGAGTATAAAATAACTAACTTTGTGGCTTGAGATAATTTAAAGCATAAAGCAATCTTCATAATATTATATTTTTGTTTAATGTGAAACTAATAATTAGCTCAGATTTCATTATGGGCAAAAACAGTGGCAATTATACAGTTAGTTAATGTACAGTTACAATGAAAAATGACATGACATTTAAGAACAACATCTCGAAAACATTGAAATAATATATTAACAAGACTTTTCCATAATAATATCTCTTTGATTTTGTCTGAGTTTCTTTACCTTAAAGCCTCGCATGATTATTGGTATGATGACATCACGTTCTTTGTCAGTCATCTTGTTGCTGCAGCTCAGAAGCATGAGCATATTGTCACAATCCGTTACACCCATAGCATACAGATCACTAAGAACATTAGCACAAGTGATCTTACCCTAATAAAAGTAACAAAGAGAAATAGATTTACAAATATTAAATAGCATATAAATATAATATAACCTTATTATGGAAAAAAAATAAAAGTAAATTTATAAAAAATTTAGCTGGCCATTATGAAAATGTGTGCCCTTTGCTGTTGAATAATTAAAAAAAAAAAAAGAGAAAAGAATGCATTATTTAAACTTTCATCTACTTTTTAAAAAAAAGTTTTTAAAAAATTAAACGTGTTCCTTTGATAAAGTAAATCCAATTTCACTCTATTTTAATAAATATCAGATATCAGACCATCATATAAGGATCATCAACTAGGGGATAGAAGTAATCTGTAGTTTGAACCAATGAGAGTCCACCATGCCGAAGAGGAGTGATGGACGAATCCATGCCAATCCCTGAAATAAAATATTCACAAAAATCAATTAAAAAATTTATAGGCATCATCTAAATTCTCAAAATTATAAAATCTTAGGCTTAAATATATAAAAGCATGTTTCCTATTACAAGCTTAAAACTTGACAGTCTACATAACAACTTATTTGTATTAAATATAAAATTAATTACCAACCAAGTTTTTATAAAAAACATGCAATATAAACAAAATGTACAATATTATCTAAGATAAAAAGGACACATTAATTTTTACCAAACTAAGAAAGAAACCTAGACAAATTTCAAACTCGCCGAGACAAGGATGCAAAACCAGGACTATTACAGTCAACACAGGACATATGGTTAACTTAATGATGTGTCAACTAGGCCCAAAATCAATAGAAACTCGCATAGTTTCAAAATACTAAGACCAAAAAACAATATGTTTAATCTTTGAGATTAGAGACCGACCAAATTTCGGCTTCGGCTTCGGTTTCGGCGCCGAAAGTGGCCATTTATCACTTTCGGCCAAGTTTCGGTTTCGGCCGAAACTGAAAAGTTAACTTTCGGCTTTATTTCGGTTTCGGCCGAAACTGAAAAGTTAACTTTCGGCTTTATTTCGGTTTCGGCTGAAAGAGAAAAGTTAACTTTCAGTTTTTCTTCGGTTTCGGCCGAAATTGACTTAGACTTTCGGCCACCGGCCGAAAGTAACTCTAGTTTTTGGTCATTTAATACTCAGCGAAAGCGATATTTAACAACAAATTAAGCGTCATTTAAGAACAAATTAAGCGATCGTTGAGAACAAACTAAACGATATTTAACAACAAACTAAGGGACATTTAAGAGCAAACTAAACGATCTTTAAAACAATAAATTAAGCGTCATTTAAGAACAAATTAAGCGATCGTTGAGAACAAACTAAACGATATTTAACAACAAACTAAGGGACATTTAAGAGCAAACTAAACGATCTTTAAAACAAACTAAGCGATCTTTAAGAACAATCTAAGCGATCTTTAATAACAAACTAAACGATCTTAAAGAAAAAACTAAACGATTTTTAAGACCGAAATAAATGATCTTTAAGAAAAAAACAGATATTTAATAGTAAACTAAATGATTTATAAGAATAAACTAAGCGATCTCTAACAGAAAATTAAATTTTCTTTAGGAACAAACTAAAAGATCTTAAAGAACAAAAAATTATTGATCTTATGGAACAAAAACAATTATCTGAGAACAACTAAGCGATATTTATGAAAAAACTAAGCGATCTTTAACAAAATCTAAGCGATCTTTAACAACAAACTAAGCGATCTTTATGAACAAACTAAACGATCTTTAAGAACAAATAAAGCAATCATTAACAAAAACTGGACGATCTTTAACAACAAACTAAGAGATCTTTACGAACAAACTAAACGATCTTTAACAACAAACTAAACGATCTTTAAGAACAAACTAAACGATCTTTAACAACAAGCTAAACGATCTTTAACAACAAGCTAAACGATCTTTAACAACAAACTAAGCGATCTTTAAGAACAAACTAAACGATCTTTAACAACAAATTAAGCGATCTTTAACAACAAACTAAGCGATCTTTAAGATTAAACTAAGCAATATTTTAGAATAAACTATGCGATCTTTATGAACAAACTCACCGATCTTTAAGAACAAACTAACCAATCAATAACAACCAACAAAACGATCTTTAAAAACAAATTAAGCGATCTTTTAGAACCACAATTTTTAGAGACCCAGTTTAAAAAAATAATATTTGCATTAATTCCCCCCCCCCCAATTTTAGCCAAATTTTCTCTTACCATACTAATTTTAAAAAAAAATTGTAAAGCAATTTAAATTACATTTATATTAAAATTCATTAGACTAGATCAAGGGTCTCAAACTAAAATCATCAGGGGGGGGGGGCGCAGGAGGTAGTGTCTGAATGAGAGTGGGCCGCATCAAGTAATCCAAAAAAAAAGCGATTACAACTGTTACAATCTGCTCAACCTTTATAAATAACAATAAAATCATTAAGGGTTCTCAAGAACTAGGATTCACTTTCATCCGCCTACTCACTGTTGCATACAAAAATATATAAAAAATAATCAGAATTAGACAGTCGGTGTGATTCGACTGAAACCGTCGCGGAGAATCACGTTATAGATATGAGAATGAGGGAAACGGGCCGGCACATTTACACTAAACTTTTCCGTCATGTAGCGGGCCGAAAAATATCGTCTTGCGGGTCACAAATGGCTTGCGGGCCGCGAGTTTGAGACCCCTATTTTAGATGTTTATTTATTAATATTCACGATTATCTCATTTTTTATAAAAAGAATGTAAATATTTATACTTTCCCTCATCATTTTCGATGTATGCAGATGTATGCGAGATCGAATTTCAAAATAACTTAATATTACATTTTCGGCTTCGGCTTCGGTTTCGGCCGAAATTCATTTTTAATATTCGGCCTTTTTTCGGTTTCGGCCGAAAGTCATTTTTAAACCTTCGGCCTTTTTTCGGTTTCGGCCGAAAGTCATTTTAAACTTTCGGCCTATTTTCGGCTTCGGCCGAAATCAGAAAATCACTTTCTGTCGGTCTCTATTTGAGATATTACCTCATGACAGACGTTTGGGGCTTTTTAATTATTAAATAATTATGCTTAACAATGCCCCTCTTTCTTTAAATTGGATAGCTGAATATTCATAAATGTTTTTATTTATTAGTATTTCTTCCCTAAATTTAAAAAACAATCTTTAGTCTATAATTTAAAACCTTGCAAAGTAAAATTAAGTTTAGGCCTATAGTCATTGAAAATACTATAGTTACAATCCTAAACTAAAGGATCTAACAAAAAATTTAAAAAATAGGCATACAGAAACTGAATCGATTTAAGAAGCCCTAGTGTTGGCATGCATTATTCATAAATTATGTCAACAATTTTCAACCCCCACTTTCCAAAATAACAAATTTGTCACCCTCCACACTAAAATGAATGCTGTTCTCACTGCTTGGTCATTTGAATTATGGCCCTTCAAATGTATTCATTTTTATTACTATTTTCCCTACGGCCTTTGATTTTGATCTATAATTATAGGCCTATCTAGAAAAATAGCATAAATGTCATTGCCCTCCTTCCCATTTGGTTGGACACTTTTTAGTGCTTAGGCAGTCGGCTATAATAATATAATGCTGACCTTTAGATTGCTCATACCCAAGACTTAGGGCTAGGATTTTCTTTTGAAGGCCCATAGTCATAGTGTAATAGCTACAAACAAATGCCATAGCCCCAATACTGCACATAGGGCAACATCATGGTTAATTATAAACTTAGTAGAGCCCTACTATATTAATATGGGCCTTGATATGTATTATGATATAAACATAATAGTCTAATTCATTAAATCATTAAAGGAAAATGTATTTATTATAAAAAAATTCAAGACTAGCACATTTAAAATTGTTTTAACACCATTAGAGCTATCACCTGCCATGGGTGTCCAAAAATAAACATTTGTGGTTACATGTGAGTGGCGTTAATTTGAAACAAAATATCATGATGCTAATTGGAGTAAATTATATATTTTTAGCTTTTTAAATTTACATATGGATATCGCTGATATCAGATGCACTTGATCTTTTGTTAAACTAATCATTTTTTTAAATTATTTAGACTAGTCTTTAATTGTACTACCGGTATTAAAACAAATGGTTAACAACGACTAAAAAGGTTTCCCAACTTGGGATGCGAGCACCCCAGATTGTGCAAGAAGATCTTTCTGGGGGTGCTAGAAAACTTAAGGTGATTTAAGAACAGGTGCAACATTAGCTTTAATATGATGATATAAATAATTATTTTTTTTTAAATATCTTCATAACATTTTACTTTTACTTTATGCCTATGTCACAAGTTTATTAAATAAATGGGTCTCTTTGCAATTCAATCTCTAAATTATAAGTCCATTATTTTCAAATTTTATAATGCATTGTTAGGCCTACTTTTTGGATGGGGTTGTGAGACTTAGTAGAAAAATAAGTAGCCATAGGGCATGCTTTTTCAAATAATTTGTAGGTGATGCTGGGAAATACTGGACTCCCCAAAGTGAAAAGTACTTCACCTTCTTGAGATAGCTAGAGCAGATCTATTGGCACAGGGTGCTTGGCAAAAGATACAAAGGGCCCAATAATACAAGCCTCGAAATTGGCTGGCTGGTCTTCGTACCAGCTGATCCAATTGCTTGTGGTATTTCTTGATCTCGCCATTTTAATGGCGGCTTCCAATCCATTGATATTTAGGATGATCTCTCATTTCATAGCAATTTTCTTTGCACCTTGTGACCCCTGTTAATGCTTAAAAATGTGTGTCCTTGAAATATGCCAAAAGGCAAATGTACCACCTCCACCTTGAAAATTGTATGTGTTTTTTATATTGAATCTTATTTATTTTGTTGTTAGTGGCAAATGTTTCGGCAAGAAGACTTCATCAGGGAACAAAAACAGTATAAACAGAATTAAATAAATAAAAACACTTAGCTTTTAGCTGAAATGTAGTATCCGAGAGGGCGGTAAGATGAATACTGCATAAGTGTTATTTTTATTCAATTATATTTTTACTGTTGTTTGCTGATGAAGGTTTCTTGCCAACAAGTTTGTTTTGTTCTTTTTTTAAGGTTTTCCTGTACTTCGTTTCGCATATTTACATTTTCATAACCTGACCACATTAGTAGTCTTATGTAGTGCGGTACCCAAACCTAGGGTACTATGTCTATAGTACTATTTTACATACGTTTGTTGATTTATTTTTAAGCTTCAACAGAAAATTCAACGAAATTCTGAAAGTAAGACTGTTATTCTGAGTGTAAAAAAATAATAATGTCATATTATTACTTATCAAAATCAGGATATCTCATTTGTATAATTGTTTTGTTTGATTCATTAAGATATTAACATTAGTTCAATTCCCTAGCCCTAGAAGCCTAGAAAAATAATATAGTTGTTTTTTGTTTTGTTTTTTATTTGTAAAGCAATGGGCAATGGGTTTAATATTTATAACTATTTTTGCAAAGTCAGTGCAGGACTTTTGGAAGTCAGTGCAGGACTTGTGGAAAGAGCTCAGTCTTCTTGGCACCCACAGGGCAAACAAACCCTCCCTCTCTCAAGAGGGTTTTTTAAAATATTAAAACCAGACTTTAAATCTAGACTAGTACACTTATAATAATTAATATTCATGAACAATTGAATTGGGAACTGAAAATTGTGCTTTAAAATTAAACAGAATTTTTTTTTAAAATTACGCCTAGTGCTGGTCAATCACAATTTCTCTTAAAAACTGTTATTTGTGTTTCTGTATTTAGGGAGTGACGGTATAAGGGGGTGGGAGCGGCCATTGACTCAACGTGGGAATTTTTAAAAAATAAGAATTGGTTAAGACGCCATATTTAATTTCCCCAGCCAGAAAGGATTGACGTATCCCTAAGCAAAAATATTAATTTGACATATATTTTTCTTAGAAAATACGGAATAAAAATATATATTTTTAAAAAAATCAACTAAAACATAATTATTAAACTCAAGGGGATTGCACACTATCCTCAGTTGCATAAAAATTATTTAGGAAATTGAATGTGGGAATTTTCTAGGAAACCGGACTGAGCCAGTGCTAGTGCTAAATAACAATTCCAAATCAAATAGCTTACCGATTCGCGGACATGGCGTAGTATATTGGAAATGCGCCTGCTCCGCGTCCTGGGCATTGCTGTCCTGTGTTAGTCCCTCAAGAAGCTTGAGCAAAACCTCCTGAGGGACTTTACACCCTCATCCCTTTAGGTCAGCAAACTTCGTGAGTCGGAAATTGGGATCCAACTCGTGAGCCAATGGATCGAACGGACGGCGCATCTCCATTCTAGTTATGACCTGAAAAATATAACAGTACAACTAAAGCATCCATAAAGCGTGTGGAAATCTTTTGTAAAGTTCAAACAATTTATTTAAATCAGAAAATTAGTCTATCTAAATCTGCACAATCTTACTTCAAAAATGGCTACCTCCCCGGAAAGCGGTAAAATGCCCGGATGGTTCGAAATGTCGGCGTTTTTTCATAATGTCCTGCGCAGTGTGGCCTTGAAGGGATCAGTTATTGTTTTATGTTGATAACACGCTTCTTTCACCTACAGTGCCATATTCACCAATAATTTTCATCAATCGCTGTTGAATGTGTGTCGACAGCATGAACATTTTTAAAAAGCACTGCTCCAACTAAAATGTTAAGACAGTTTTCGCAGTGTTACATAAGACACTCAAAACTTAATAACTTTTGCAGTTTAATTTTTTTTTATTTTTTTTTTTTAACTTAGGTACCGTACTGAAACAAGTTTGCCAACAGTCCGTAATAAGAGTAATATTTATATATTATACGGCTCGTCTGTAAAAAAAATGGCCATCCATGACTTGTCGATAAAATCTTTAAGATTTCCGTCCAAAAAAAATGTGACATTGAACAAACAAATTTCGAAGCGAAACGTAAACTAATAAGGGGAAATCTGAGCTTTTGTGATTTTTATTTACTTGCTTTAAACTAAAACCATAACCAGAACAATTTGACACTGATAAGAATACCATAAAATAAATTTCATAATGTCATAACATAAATTATTTAGGTTGTAAAATATGATAGTGCTTCCTGATGATGATGCTCTTTTGTGCATTGTAAGGGGATTTTTTTTTTTTGTTTCCCTTTTCAAAATTTAAAACCAGGTCAAAATCGTTCTGCGCAATTGTGAGCTCTTTTATCAGTGAGGCTAACTGGTCATGGAACACGCACTTATAAAATATAAAAACCATCGAAGTGGCAATTCGTACCTGGGTACCAGAAGTGAGAGGTTGGGATTAAAAAACTATTTAAAATATTGTTGGGTTTGTATGACAAAATGAGGTATCCAATGAAAGATAATTGAATGGACTATATGTTTGTAAACTTAATTCTTCAGTTTAAAACTAAAATAAACTACCACAAATGACATCCGAATGGCACTGAGTCAAATGGACCCAGACACGCAGCGCCGCCATTCGCACCCTGGTACCATTAGACTCAAGCTATTCGGATGTCATTTGTGGTAGTTTATTTTAGTTAAAATGAAGAATTAACTTTACAAACATATAGCCCATTCAATTATCTTTCATTTGATACCTCATTTGTCCTACAAACCAACAGCAAAATTTTAAATAGTTTTTTTAATCCCAACCTCTCAATTCTGGTACCCGGGTACGAATAGTCGAAGCCAAAAACAATTATAATTTCTGATTAGGCTACCTGATGAGGTCGTTCGTGAGTTAGTGATAGCGAGGCGTAATTTTTAAGAAAATAAATGTCTCTATTTTTGTTAGCTGCGACATTTATTAAGACTGGATTATTACATGAACTCGATCTTTTGATAAATTACAATATTGATATTATTTTCTTCTTATTGTGTAATTTAAGACTACTGTACTCAGTACTGCCTTCTGTTTCAGTTCACGAAAAGCCAAGAAAAAGGTTAAAAGACCAGTAGGCCTACCGGTGAAATCAGTAGGAACGTAAAATTTATAATGAATTACCTTTTCCCAAAGGCTTGACTTTTCTATTCATTTATTCTACTCCAGTGTGTATATTTTCTACTGTTTCCCGTAACCACTTCCAATGTTCCCCTTAAGCTGGCTGCGCAGCCGCGCAGCTATTTCTCACAGACGCCGTGCAGGAGTTTTGAATGTCCGCGCAGCAAATTTCCATATAAGTGTGTGTTTGTTTTAAGGGCTGTAAAATTTTGCACACAAAAAAATTGATGCTGTAAAACTTTGCACACAACTGTATGATTTTGCACACGAACCAACAAACCTTAGAGGGAACATTACGCCTTTCCTCAAGGTGCTCGTAATCATATGGAAAGTGAGTGGCACAAAGGTGTTCAGCAAGAGGCAACAGCATTCTTGAGCATCATTATGAATTCAGACCGCGATACAAGCAATACAGCTGGATTTGATAACTTTAACGTATATAAACATATCTGTACATTAACGGACATTTTCCCGTGAACATCGAAAGGGTGTCGAAACTCTGTTAAAGCAAAATAGTATGAAAAAGTCTTGCAGCTTTAGTTAACATTGAGATGAAGAGCCCATATATCTGTAGACGAGAAGTACATGGCAGCAATCACTGAAACTTAAATGACAGCGTGAAGATCCCGACTAAGAAGAAGAAAATTTCAGATTTTATAATATCATCTCTAGCCAACCGTTTCTCCGGGAGAAACCTGTTACTGTACCGGTTCCAGATATTCAGACTTTAGCCTGCTATGATGACACTTCTAAATCATTACTGTGTTTGTCCGTCAAATGGGTTTTTCCGTCAAATGTGTTTGTTGATCAAATTTGTTTGTCCGTAAAATGTGTTTGTCCGTCAAATGTGTTTGTCCGTCAAATGTGTTTGTCCGTCAAATGTGTTTGTCCGCCAAATGTGTTTGACCATCAAATGTGTTTGTCCGTAAAATGTGTATGTCCGTTAAATGTGTTTGTTCGTAAAATGTGTTTGTCCGTAAAATGTGTTTGGATTTAAAATATGTGCCGATAAATGTAGCCTTTTTGAGTTGGTTTACGTTTGATGAGAATAATTTCATATGTGCTGAAAATGATTATAAGGGAAACCAAAATGTGTGGTATTTTATGAAGAAAATTGACTTCGTTCTATTTGAGAGTTAAAGCTTCGAAATACAAAATGAAAAAAAAAATCGTACATTTAATTTTAAAAGTAGAATATACCAATTTAAGTATTTAGTTAAGATTTTTTTTAAAAATGCACTCGAGGAGGGCGGAGGACTTAACCATTAAAATAATGTCGGTGCAATTCGATTACTGACACTAATGATGAATGCAGTAAAGATACCATTTGCGCGAAAATATTCAGTACTGAAACTCCTGCATCTTGAATGTGTCTACGATTGTCTACGGTGCACATAGCTCCAGCATCGGAAGACAAAAGGCAGATGATAATATGATGGGCAATTATTTGAAAGTGGGTCTCTCGACGTAGGAAAAAGTATTAATATTTGAGCATCCTTTTCTCTCATATAATGTAAATGGGGATTAGTCTATTAATTTAATTATACTAAACGCTTTGGGTTTTTAAATTAAGCCCAGCCCAATGGTGGATTGGAACGCCGAAACACCTGCAAATTCACGTGGGCCAAGAGAAACCGGGAATTGTGATATTTGGCACACTACCACATTATTATAAGTGTGTATTAAATCTGCAACATATATTTTTTGTCCAGGCCGCTTGGACACTCACTCTAGTATACAGCTGGCACAATCCTATGATTATTATAAGTAGAAACAATATGAAAACTTAAGTATTTTTTCTTTTAAATCCGTTATATTAACTTCGCTTTTGGTCGTGGCTGACTGGCTGGTTAATTGACCCACTGCCCGTCCATCTATCGAGTTAAGACTTGGTACCGGTACATATATTCGTTGCCGATGACAACACATTTTTTTTCAAATTTTCAACACCACTCTCCAACCCCCCATCATTGTATTATGTAACCAATTGTTACACTCCCATGACTTTAAAATAAAAAAATCTTAGAAATGTTTTAACATTGTAGTGGTAGAGTTCACTCTCTTGGGTCACCGAGCTCAGTGCACCTTTTGGTAAATACATAGGGTACATATGAAAGAGTAAAATAACGCATTATCTTTTGGTAAATACAGAGGCTACATAGGAAAGAGTAAAATAACGCATTATCTTTTGGTAAATACATAGGCTACATATGAAAGAGTAAAATAACGCATTATCTTTTGGTAAATACATAGGCTACATATGAAAGAGTAAAATAACGCATTATCTTTTGGTAAATACATAGGCTACATATGAAAGAGTAAAATAACGCATTATCTTTTGGTAAATACATAGGCTACATATGAAAGAGTCAAATAACGCATTATCTTTTGGTAAATACATAGGATACATATGAAAGAGTAAAATAACGCATTATCTTTTGGTAAATACATAGGCTACATATGAAAGAGTAAAATAACGCATTATCTTTTGGTAAATACATAGGATACACGTGAAAGAAAAAAGTAACGCATTTTGATGAAATGCAAAATTATTAAATTTTAATGATAAACAAAAACAAAGAAATATAACACGATTCATCCGTAAGAATGTTATTTTCTGAGTGATGGTTACTGTTGTAGTCACCGGGCTAAGGGGAACTATGTATCATGCTGCATAACTCAGAAAAGTTTGAGAGGTATTTCCAAATTTTTAGAATTACCTCCCCGCAACCGTAAGAGAATTAAATTGCCCGCCTTTTAGTCTTAAATGCTTAAAAAAAATAAAAAAAATAATATTATAAAATAGGTCTCACTGATCAATGCGATATATTTGTTTCAATTTAAATTAAACATTATATCTTCACACTACACGTCTTTCAACAGGATTTGTATAAGACATAAAAAAATAGACATTTAAAGACTAAGTTCTGTCAAAGAAATGAATAGGTTTCCTGGCGTGAAAGGTAACCAGCTCTATGCTCAATGATATCGTTTTAAAACTTTAAAAAATAGTTCAGTGAGACAGTTTGGATGGGTCAGGGGGGGGGGGGGCCCACAAATCTCGTTTAGGAAATAACGCGCTGGCCTGTCATATA